AAAAAACAAAAAACCTCACCTATCCAAATTTGATTTTTCATTTCCAACACAAAACTCTTACTTAGAACTTACGAAGAATTACTTTTTGATCAAAACTTTATCATTAAAACTGGAACATCAGCTTTACTTCATCAACATTTTTAAATGTCCAAACTTTTAGCCCCTAGCGACATTTCCTGAACTCGTACTTCATACCTGTCAAAGAAGTACCTTTCTGTTTTTCCTTTATACTCTAATAGTTAAAGCTATTTATAAAACCTTTACTGCATAGAAAGTGCTGCTGAAAAAGTTGTGGAAATTTAATGCCAGGAATAGAAAGGAGGGCAAAAAGTCAAAGACAATAAAGAAGAGCAAGTAATTGCTACTATATAAATTTTTTAAATGCTACTCAATTTTAAATGCTTAATAAAAGTGAGAGTAGTAAGATTTCATAACCAGCCTGAAGCCCTTTACCACAGGTTTTCCTCAAGTATATTGTCTTAATGTATCTTCTTTCCTAGTCAGTGATGTTTATCTGTCTCTCATTTCAAATCAGCACTATGCTCAATACAAATAGCAAATTATTCCCAGAGCAAAAGGCACACTGTAAAACTGTAACTTTCCTGGAAGACTAAAATCAGTTTTTGAATAATATGATTTGACTTCTCCATCAATGAGTGTTATAGTTGCTTCCTAGAAGCTACACAGAACCACATAAGAACCAGATTTCTTTTAATTGACGGCCACCAGAAGAATCTGCTACTTGCTATCAATTTTGCAGATTCTGATATAATTCTTGAATAGAGAATCACAATGATAGAAGTGGAAAAAAAATTATTCAGAAGACATCATGAAAATGAAAAGTTATATAAAAATTATAAACATGAAATGTTAGGATTTCAAAAGTCATCCACTTGGCTTAAGAATGAAATACTAGCCCCAAATGAGTTAATACTTTTCAATGCACACTCAATTCAGTTAAGAGGATACGCTGGAAACAATGTCTGGTGAATGGAAGGGCTTTGTTAGGGCACCGTTCACCCTTCACGGTTCCACTGCACGCTGCTGGCTCCGCCTCCCTCAACTTGGTCCGGCTTATGCTAAGAAAGCAAAGAGACAACATTAATTTCTAAAAAATGCTTTAAAGACCCAGGGCAACTTTTCAACACTAGGCGGGCAGGTTATAACACCAACATTTCACCTTTCTACATTCTTTAAATAAAAGGTAACCATCAGGTACAACGACAAGTTCCAGTATTTCCTCAATCTACTGACAAAACAAGTAACTGTATTATAATTGATTTCAACTATGCCTGTTTTTTCTTTTTAAGTGATATTTTGGTTCCTTTTGGGACACCTGGGTGGCTCAGTGGGTTAAGCGTCTGCCTTCAGCTCAGGTCATGATCCTAGGGTCCTGGGATCAAGTCCCTCCTGCATTGGACTCCCTGATTGGCGGGGAGTCTGCTTCTCCCTCTGCTTGTGCTCTCTCCCTCTCTCACACACACAAACACACAAATACTTTTTAAAAAACCCAAAAACAAAGAAAGAGATTTAAAATAAGTAAAATTTAAAAAAAGAGTCTCCTTTCTACCTACCCTTATCCCAATTTGCCAGTTCCCACTCTCTCTATAACAAGTATTCATTTTATTATTTTGTGGATGTTTCCATAGTTTTAAACAAACATTAAAAAATAAAAATAAATAATATTCAAGTTCTTAGAAGTACAAAAACTGTCCTGTGTAATTTGATTCTCTGAAGCATCACAAACTGGTAGGACTTTACACCTATCTGAGGGTAGAAAAAGAATCTACATAATATACTGAATCACACATCACGCATTAAAAATAAAATTATCTTTTGAATTGTTTCTAAGTCTAAGGACTTCAATAGGATTTATACTAATTAGAAGGTCATACAGAACCCAAATTACATATGAATTTACAGAAAATCTAAGTAAAATTTCTACTCTAACTTTCCTATAAACAATCCATGCAAATAGAGAACCAGGTGCTGCCATCGAAGCTGCTTTAATTAAGGTTCTGCAAGATGTGTCAGAATCACAAGAGTGGGGAAGCGGGCCATTAACTTAGGTCTGTAAAAAGGATACACAGTTTCAAATAAATGAAGCTGTACTATTTCGGCAGCTTACCCCAATTCTCTTGGTCTAGATTTAAATAGAAAGCAATTCTCTATACTGAATGGATTATTTTTGTGGAACACTTCAAGAATCTGCTCAGCTATTTACCAAGCCTTGAGTACCACACATTCCCTCGTTTTCCTTTATCCTAGACTTCGAAGGGCCCGGTTTCATTTTGTAAAATTGGTGATACGTTCCAACTCATCCATCTATCTCTTAAACAGTAAAATAAACTCAAAGTCAAAATTTCAATACCTCCCTGGATAATTAAGGTAAAAATGCCTGATGTTAGACAGATTTGTATTATCCGAATAATCCCAATAAAACAAAGGGAGAATTACCAAAACATTTTGATGTTTTTAATGTGAAAACACCTACTACAAGCTTCCCTTTTGTATTATTAGATCCCCCTTTTACAATAAAGTTTCTACACAAAAACTAGTCTCTGTAGGATTGTCGGCTACAAGATACTTAGATGTGAGTCTACGTAGTTAAGCTATTTCAGTGGTTTATTCCATATATTCACCAATATATACGACAAAGCTATTAGATGAGAAAGAATAATGTTACTCAGTTTAGATCCAAACTGTATGTTAAAGGATACCTATATTAAAAGGCAGCCATTAAAGTTTTAACCTCTAAAACATTTAAAAGCAACTTTTTAAATGTCTTTGTGGAACTAGTCTTTGAAAGCAAAAACATCCAATAGTGGGCATTATCCAACTGACAGCTGATTTTTGTGACCCTAAAATATAATGTAAAGTAGTAAACTACCAATCACCAACAACTGATTATGGCTCATTGTTAAAGGATTATCAGTGAGGCACTGAGCAATAAACTTTTTACTAATCATGAGTGACATAAACAAATGACATCAAATAAATTTGAGAACTGAATATTAGAGTTCATCTTGGTATTTGTTTAGTAATATTTAATTATCATGAAATTTAAAAAAAAAAATCACTAATGGTGGTTTGGGAAATGTTTTGAAAAAAAAAAGGGGGGGGTTGATTCTGCCAGTTAAAAATCATAGATAAATACAGTTTTCTACACAAATATCGAATTGTCCCAAACTCAGAGTACAGTCCTTACTTACATCTTTGACAAGGTCATAATAATATATATATATATGTAACACTCTACACATATAGATTGTTTCATTGCTGGACAAAACTAAAGTCTCCACTGAAATCGTACACTTGAAAGCATTATCTAATGCAAATGTTAGATATCATTATTTTAAAACCTTTGTCAAACCAAGTGAATTCTTTCAACAAATAGAGAACAGACGTCTCTTCACTTGTTTAATTCTATCCATTCGTTCATCAATACCGGAGATTTATGAACAAAATGTACATTGTTCCTGCCCTCACAAAAATGACTGTCTAGCTTGGGGCGCCTGGGTGGATCTATCGGTTAAGTGTCTGCCTCCGCCTCAGGTCATGATCTCAGGGTCCTGGGATCCAACCCTGTGTCAGGCTCCCTGCTCAGCAGGAAGTCTGCTTCTCCCTCTCCCTCTGCCCTCCCCCTGCCCGCTTGTGCTCTCGATCTCAAAATAAATAAAATCTTAAAAAAAGAGACTGTCTAGCCTGACAGAAATATTAGTATACAATTCCACAATGAAGCAGAGTATGGAGCACAATACACATACATAATCGGGGGACCTAACAGTGGAACACTGGGAATGTTTCTCTGAGAAAAGTTAAGTCTCTAGTAACTTAAGACTTAAAGGATGTTCTAAAACAGACCCTACCTTCCCCCCTACACAGGAGTCGGGGCTCTAAGAGTGAGGTAATATGCTGCAGGCAGCAGTCATTAATGTGGGTGTATTAGACACACATACAAAGTTTCAAACAACTCTAAATATCCCAAGCAGCAGAAAACTCTCATGGGCATACTATCTTTCTGATATATGCAATTGAAAAATCAGTTATTTTTTTTATAACAAATATAACGAAAACCAAAATACATTAAAGTAAAATGAAATTTCAAAAAATATATGGGTATGTAAAAAATATGATCAGGCTATAAAGCAAAAGATTTTTTTTTTTTTAGTTTTATTTTAAACTCCTTTTTTCCTCAGTGACTCACGATCACTATAGAAAAATTAGAATATACGTAATACTAATTTTTTAAACCTTAATTTATCAATAATCCCATCCTCTAGAGATAGCCACTGCTAATATTTTGTTATATAAACTCATAAAAATGTGTGTGTGTATCTCAAGGTTGTTATCTGAAAAAAAACAGTAACTAAAAATTGTGAAATAATAAACTCCATAAAAAACTATGCCTTCCAGGGCGCCTGGGTGTCTCAGTCAGTTAAGCACCGGCCTTTGGCTCAGGTCATGATTTCGGGGTCCTGGGATCCAGCCTTGCATTGGACTCCCTGCTCAGCGGCGAGCCTGCTTCTCCCTCTCCCTCTGCCCCTCCTCTCCGTTTGTGCTCTCTCTCAAATAGATAAAATCTTAAAAACAAACAAACAAAAAAAACTATGCCTTCGGGACGCCTGGGTGGCTCAGTCATTAAGCGTCTGCTTTCGGCTCAGGTCATGATCCCAGGGTCCTGGGATCGAGCCCCGCATCGGGCTCCCTGCATCGGGCTCCCTGCTCGGCGGGAAGCCTGCTTTTCTCCCTCTCCCACTCCCCGGCTTGTGTTCCTGCTCTCGCTAACTCTCTGTCAAATAAATAAATAAAATCTTTAAAAAAAAAACAAAACAAAACTATGCCTTCTAAATTTGAAAATTATTTCCTTAAGGCAGACGTTTAACAGACTGAGCCACCCAGGCGCCACTTGAGCTAGTATTTTTAGAAGGTATATAACCTAAATAAGTAATTATGATAAGTTTTCACCACCTAAACTAATTTCTGAAATGATAATAACACCACAATTTCTTCATTGAAACATCAGATAACTTCCACATGTCCAATTTATGGATTTTCTGTCAATAAAATAGTACGCACGCATTATAAACCATGTTTTCAAAACAATTTTTAAGAACATAGGGGAATGGCAATGATTTATTTTTAAGGGAAAAAAATTGGACACACAGCTCTTAAACAATATAGACCCAGTTTTACTTAAATACATATAAAAACCAGAAAAAGTCCAAGGACTGACATCCATATTACAAAGCCATTAAAAGCCATGTTTTAAAGAATTAGTGTCATGAGAAAATGGTCATAATCCAATGTTCCATGGAAAAAAGGTAGGAAATAAAATATACACATGGCATGATCTCAATTTTGCTTTAATACAAATACATGGCTCACTGGAGATTTCATACACACACATGTGCACACGCACACACACAAAGAAAATAGACTACAAGGAAACAATCAGAATGTTCACAGTGCTCATTCTCTGTTCTGTGCATGGTGATATTATGGAAATCCCCCCCTTTCCTATGTTTTTCAAATTTACAATAAGCAAATACCTGGACTATAATATAAAAAGAAAAGTTTTCCCCCGAAGAAATGCAATGTAATAAAGTATTCTGAAGACCTAATATGTGGGATAATGGAAATATCAACAGAAAATACGCTGGAAAGAAAATTTTTAAAAAATATTAAGTAAAAAATGTAAAATACTATTTCTATAGTAAAAAAAACGGCAAATATCACTTTTAAGTACATGAAATTTCTAAGCACTGGTTTTTGTTTTTTTTTTAAGGCAGGTAGCATTCTCAAATACTTTATGGTGTAAATTCTAGTCAAGTTCTGGCAAACGAACAGCAATGCTTTTAGACAGCTCGTGGCGATGTTCTCTCGCCACATGATGCAAAACTTTATCTGAGCAGCAAAAGCAAAATGCAATGCTTCAAAATTTCAGGCTTAAATGCCCACTGCCCACTGTGCTGCAACTATCCTGTCAAAACACAGACAAAAGAGAGACAGGTGGCTGAGGACCAGGTGGCTGCCCGGGGCTCTCACCTGGTTCGGCTGCATGCAGCTCTCTGCAGTTCCTGCATTAACTGACCAGTACACTCCGGCTCTCGGCTGGCCGCCTGCAGCAAGGCTTTCCTAAACGTGTGCCGGCATTTCTTTTGACGAGATTCTGCCCGCTCCAGGCGGCAGAGGTGCTTATATTTCTGCTGAAAGTAAGTGCAAAGTTGGGTCACCCTGGAGCTCCTACTCTCCGTATCATCGTCATCTGACCTGGAAAGTGCACAAAGAGAAGGGAGAAACTGATTAAACGTCAGGCTCGGTTTAGAGACGGGGCAAAGCGGGTCAATGAGCTACTCGGATGCACAAGGGTCCACATTTGGGGCAGGTGAGCACATACTTCACAAAATTAGAGAATTCCAGTAGAGCTGAAAGTAAATACAATATTTCGACAATAAATAAGGCAGTAGACGCCACCCAGTGCTTTCAGATGCTTCACCTTCTCAGCATGTCAAGAGTTAGACAGAATGCATCAGGGTCTTCTAAATTTTAAGTGACTAGGGGTTCTCGGGAAGAAAACAGTTTCTTTACCTTTGCTTAACTAAAACGACTGAGTAAATGACATGGCAGTTATGAGGAAACACTAAGCATAATTTCATAAAAGATAGGTCATACCAGAAATAGAGCAGTGAATTCCAAGAGTGCCTTATCAAAGACCTGCCCTTTTAGATGTACTGGTTTTCACTCCCCTTGCTAAGCACTTACAGAATGTTAATTGTAGGGGTCACGATCATTCTACAGTATTTTTTATTATTTTCTTTTAACACAGGAGATATCCTTTTTTTAAAAGGTTTTTAAAAAAATTTGAGAGAGAGAGCAAAGCAAGCGAGAGAGAACACGAGTGGGGGGGAAGGGCAGAGGGAGAGGGAGAAGCAGACTCCCCACTGAGCTCAATCCCAGGACTCCAGGATCATGACCTGAGCCAAACAAAGGCAGACACTTTAACAGACTTAGCCAGCCAGGAATCCCTACTTTGCAAATTTCTGGTCTAAGAAATAAGTCCTAAGAAACATGTTCTCTTCAGTATAGTAGCTACTACAAATATACCAATTGAAGGATCTCACTTCAATCTTTTCATTTATTTGACATTCAACATTTGCTATATGTCTATTACGTTGAGTCCTATAAAGGAGAAAATAATTTGAGCAGTTTGCAATGCAGTTTAGACAAGATAAACACATCCCCAAAGTTAACTCACAAGATAATCGAATCAGTAACTAAAACCATGGGGCAGGCTGACCAATGATTCAAGTATCTGACCTTCAATTAGAAAAATCTAGGAGTTTTTCACAATTTGAGATCCCAAGACCTACCCTAGATCTACTGAACCAGAATTTCCATGGAATGGGGCCCAGGAATCTTTATTCTGAATTGTTCCCTGAAGTCCCATAGCAGGTTTTCATTTGGGAGTTCTAGTCGAGCCGGTAGGTACTATAAATATCTTCAATGTGAGGCAGAGAACATCGAGAGGTCTAGATACGGCTAAAGTGCTATTAAAGTTCACTAGCAAGATTGCTGGATGAGAGGCTTCACAGAGGAGATGCCAACAGAACTGAACCGTGAAGAAAGGGTAGAATTTGAAGAGGAAAAAAAAGGGTACCTCGCCAGGATAAAGGAATACAAGTCAGGCTTCAGAGATGGACAGGACAGAGAACAGCAAGTACTAAGTAGCTCACTTTGGCGAAGATGTGGCATACACAGGGGATGAGGCCAACTTTCTAAACCTAAACACTAGATTCTACTGGCAGTGAAGAACCTCGTAGAGTTTGAAGAAAATAGGCAACAATAATAGAGCCGTGCATGAGAAAGGTTACACCGTCAGCAGGCAGAAATGGGAAGAGACAGGGCAGAAGGCAGGGAGGAAATTATTAAAACACTCCAGGTAACAGGTAACAAGAACCCACACCAGGACGGCGGCAGCGGGACTGCAGGAGAGGAAAGAGATCCTGCACGCATGAAAGGCAGACCTCCGTCAACTGGGAAGGGAGGGTGCGAGGGACAACAGTCGCGCGGCCCCTTCCCTCAGCGAAGCCCAGGGAAGAGGAACACGAGCAGATCTGGGGCAGGAAATAAATTCCATTTCAGATGTAAAGAATGTAAAGTACAGATGAGGTATCGAAGGCAGCAGTGGGAAAAACCGTTAGAAACGATAAGCAGGAGCACAGCGAGGGAAGGAATACAGATTCCATAGCCAACAACTAGCAACTGAGGGACAGGGGAGGGCCTATAAGTAAAAGGCCACGGAGATAATAGAAAGAATGAGACCTGTAAGGCCCATTATCACAAAAGAATTAACTCAATTTGGTGACTGGATATGAAGGATAAGAAAGTCAATAATGACTCAATGACTTTGAACTTGCATAAGAGGAGAATGGAAGGGCTATTAATAGAAAAAAGAAAGAGAGGAGAAACTGCAAGTCTTAAAGGTAGAGTTAAGCTCAGGTAGATAATCACTTGCCAAAGCTATTATTTGAAAAGACTCTGTTATGGCGGGGAGGACAGACCAGATCAGCAGTTCTCAAGTTGACAATGAATGGACAGATGCACCTGGATGTTGAGGGATGTTTCATCATTAAAATAAAAATTTTCAAAGCTTGGGGCGCCTGGGTGGCTCAGTTGGTTAAGCGACTGCCTTCGGCTCAGGTCATGATCCTGGAGTCCCTGGATGGAGTCCCACATCGGGCTCCTTGCTCGGCGGGGAGTCTGCTTCTCCCTCTGACCCTCCTCCCTCTCCTGCTCTCTGTCTCTCATTCTCTCTGTCTCAAATAAATAAATAAAATCTTTAAAAAAAAAAAATTTTTTTCAAAGCTTATCAGAAGTTCCATGCTGACTTGTTGTGGGCCAGTGACAAGTAGTTTGCAGACCTGCACAGGTCCACGGGCCATCCCCAGCATGGTCCTTAACCAGAAAATCTCCAACATGCCTCCCACTTCCAAGATGTTCTAACCCTCGTGTTTCACACCTGGCTGTGGAGGAAGAGTGTCATTCCGGGCACAGAAAGGCCAGCGGCCATTATTTACCAGCAGAGACAGGCCTGCCACCTACTGCATTCTCAGTATGTGGCTTTCTTCACCTGTGAAATCAAAGAGCTGGCTCACCCAGCTCCCAAAGTTGTGAAGAGAATGAAAAGAAATGACCTATTTAAAATCACAATATAAGTACAGGTATTATTATTAGATAATAACCTATATCCATCTAATAACCTATATCCATTAACTAAAATTAAATCACTTATTAAATACACACATGCAAAAAACTCCTGGCCTAAATAGCTTTACCATGAGCTCTAGCAATAAAAAAAATAATAATAATAATAATAATTCCAATCACACACAAAATATCCCAGATATCAGGAAAGAGGGGAATATTCTTTTTTTTTTTAAGATTTTATTTACTTATTTTAGAGAGAGATCAAGCACACAAGCAGGAGGGGCAGAGGGAGAATCTCCAGTTGACTCCACACTGAGCATGGAGCCCAATGCAGGGCTCAATCCCATGACGCCAAGATCATGACTTGAGCCGTAATCAAAAGTCTGACAATTAACCGACTGAGCCACTCAGGTGCCCCAAGGGAATATTCTTTTAATAAAGCTAACCTAAACTTGACACCAAAAACTTATTAACAAGGACAATAGGACAAAAGGAAAATCTTATTAACGATCTCAAAGGCAAAAAATATTAATAAGTTGAATCTAGCAGCGTATAAAAAAGAAATACCCAATCTGGGTTAATTAATGTAGGAATGCAACAATTATTTTTCAATCTGATCTTACTAGACCTCTCTTCTGCAAAAAACTTTATTCTTCTTTTCCTTTCATCTTCAAACTTTCTATTTCCTTGCTTCCTCCTGTTATTTTCCTCATTTTCTTCTTTCTTCTTTCTCTTCCCAATCCTCACATCATGTATGAAAATTCTTCATTTTCAAAACTTCAACATCACTTAAATACTGAAGACACAAGTCTGTTCTCTAGCCCATACCTCACAATTATATTGCAGAGACAAGATATTTATTTGGCGTGCTCATCTACATATAACTAACCCAGAAATGCTGGAATTAGGACAGAGTACTGGGGAGCAGAGAGGTGCACAGACAGAAGCACTATGAAGATCTACAGAGGGTTCCTCTCAGTTTTTCACTTGAGTACTGATCAGTGCAAGGGTGTGGAAGAATACCCAAAAAGAATCTGAAAAGAGAAGGCCAGAGAAGTTCCAGCAGCTCACACAGGGCAGGCGTAGTTTCTGGTCCCACCACCCAAGGGGAAAAACGTGCAATCTGCAGGGCACTGGGTAGACCACTCAGGAGCAGACTGCCTCACTAATGGGGGTAAATGAGCCCTCAATTAAAGGCTGCCATGGCCCCATTTCACGAAGTTTAAAAAGCAAGCCTCAAAAGCTGTTTCAAAGTAACATAACTATGTCCCCAGACGAAGATCTTAAAGGAAGACAAAATACCAGAATCAAGGTAAGTAAAATTAACCATGCCTGGCATCTAATAAAAAATTATCAGACATTCAAAGAAACAGGAAACTAGGACCCCTAAGAAGGAGAAAAATCAATCAATAGAAACAGATCTAGAAATGATACAGATGACATAATTAGTAAACCAAGAATCAAAGAACAGTTATTACAACCATATTTCACATTTTTGAGAAGGTAATCATGATCACGACAAGGAAAGACATGGACAATAATTTAGAAGACCCAAAACAAACTTCTAGAGATGAAAAATACAATGTCTAATACGAAAAATGGACTGAATGGGATTGATGGCTGGTTAGATGCCACAAAAGATTAATTAACCTGAAGACAGCAATAGGAACTTTCCAAACTGAAACACAGAGAGGAAAAAAGTGAATGGAACATCAATAAGCTGTGGAGTAATTTCAAGCAGCCTAAAATATGTGTAACTAAGTCTCTCAAATGGAAGGGGGAAGAAAAATAATTGAAGAAAACTAGGGTAAAATTTTTCTAAATTTCATGAAAATTATAAACTTACAGATTCAAAAAGTCAATGCACCCCAAGCACAAGAAACATAAAGAAAATGAACTACACAAATGGTTTAAAATTACTGATAAAGAGAAAAATCTTAACAGAGAAAAAAAAGACACATAATGTTCCTTGGGCCAAATATGTGAAGGACAGTTGACTTCTCATTGGAAATAATGCAAGACATGTGAGCAACATCCTTAAGTACTGAAAGAAAAACTGTCAACCTAGGATTTTATGCCAGCAAAAATATCTTTCAAAAATGAAGGCATACATCCTTGAAACATGGATGGACCTAAAGGGTATTATACTAAGGGAAATAAGTCAGAGAAGATAAATACCATATGATTTCACTTATATGTGGAATCTAAAAAAAACAAAACAAAGCAGAAACAGACCCATAAACACAGAGGACAAACTGGTGGTTGCCAGAGGGGATGGGGGTAGAGAGATGGGCAAAATGGGGTAAAGACAAGAGGGAGGTGCAGACTTCCAGTTATGCAGTAAGTCATGGGAATAAAAGGTACAGCATAGGGAATATAGTCAATGGTATTAGGGTTGTATGGTGACAGATGGGAGCTACACTTGTGGTGAACAGAGCATAACATATAGACTTGTCAAATCACTGTGTTATATACCTGAAACTAATGCAACATTGTGTGTTGACTTTACTTCAATTAAAAAAAAAAAAAAAGGCATGGGGTGCCTGGGTGGCTCAGTCAATTAAGCATCCAACCCTTGATTTTAGCTCAGGTCATAATCTCTCAGGGTTGTGAGATCGAGTCTCCACGCCAGGCTCCCTCTCCCTCTGCACTCCTCACCCCCCCCAAGCCAAAAAGGCATAGTCAATTATACCTCGATAAAATTTTTCAGACATAAAAGCTAAAAGAATTCATCACCAGAAGGGTGGCACTAAAAGAAATGTTAAAGTGAACCATTCATACAGAAAGAAAATAACATCAGATGGAAATATGGAACTATTCAAAGAAAAAAAAACCTAGAAATTACATGGGTAAATACAAAAGATTATTTTTCTTTTAAATCGTCTTAAAAGATAACTGCTTGAACAATAGCAATGTATTACAGGGATTATAACATATGTAGATGGAAATGTATAGCATCAAGTGTCTATATCAGAAAACAAGGAAGATCCCAGGTTTAAGCTATCACCTTAAAAACTTGAAAAAGACAAACAAGTGTATCCAAAACAAAGAAGGAAAGAATAGAAGAACATAACAGAAGGAAATTATAGAGATAAGAACAGAAAGCAATGAAATAAAGCTAAAAGAGAATCAATGAAACTAAAAGCTTGTTCTTTAAAAAGACCAATGAAAAAGAACAGAAAATGAACAAAGAGACATACACATACATGCCAAGGGTTCCAATGCAAGATCAACAGTGTTTTCAATAGTGTTGGTTAAATAGAAGATCCACGCAGAAAAAAATGATCCTTAGCACTGCACCTCACATTATATACAAATTATACAAAAATAAATTTCCACAAAGACTGTCAGGAAAACAATAAGGCTTCTAAAAAAGAGTATTAGAGAATAGCTTCTGACTGTGAAGCTGTGGGGTAAGTAATGATTTCTTAAATGGGTCACAAATACATTACCCATTAAGAAGAAGACCAATAAACTGTACTCGTTAAAATTAAGAACTGGGGGGCGCCTGGGTGGCTCAGTTGTTAAGTGTCTGCTTTGGGCTCAGGTCATGATCCCAGGGTCCTGGGATCGAGCCCCACATCGGGCTCTCTGCTCAGCGGGAAGCCTGCTTCTCCCTCTCCCACTCCCCCTGCTTGTGTTCCTGCTCTTGCTATCTCTCTGTCAAGTGAATAAATAAAATCTTAAAAAATAAATAAATAAATACATACATACATGCATACAATAAAAGTAAGAACTGGGGGGTGCCTAGATGGCTCAGTTGGTTAAGCTTCTGACTCCTGGTTTTGGTTCAGGTCATGATCTCATGGGTTATGGGATGGAGCCCTGCATCAGGCTCAGCGTGGAATCTGCTCTAAGATTCTCTCCCCCTGTCCCTGCCCCCACTCACTCTCATGCGCGCTCTCTCTCTAAAAATAAATAGGGGCGCCTGGGTGGCTCAATCGCTAAGCGTCTGCCTTCGGCTCAGGTCATGATCTCGGGGTCCTGGGATTGAGCCCTGCATCGGGCTCCCTGCTCAGCAGGAAGCCTTCTCCCTCTCTCACTCCCCCTGCTTGTGTTCCCTCTCTCGCTGTGTCTCTCTCTGTCAGATAAATAAAATCTGTATAAATAAAATAAAAATAAATAAATCTGGGTTCCTGAGTGGCTCAGTTGGTTAAGTGTCTGCCTTCGGCTCAGGTCATGATCCCAGGGGCCTGGGATTGAGTCCTGCATTGGGCTCCCTGGTCAGCCAGGAGCCTGCTTCTCCCTCTGCCTCTGTCCCTCCCCAGTGCTCATGCTTGCGCATGCTCTCTCTCTCTCCTCTCAAATAAATAAAATCTAAAAAAAAAAAAATAAAAAATAAAAATAAATAAATCTTTAATA